AAATAAAGCTTGAAACATTTAGTTAAATTTAGTATCCAAATTAAAAATGAGAGGAAGAATTAAAGATAAAAGAAAAGAAGAGAAAAGCGAAATACTCATTGATTTATTTAAAATCTTCGATGATTAACTTTTGACATGAACACCCTAAATTATTGTTTTTTTCTGACAATAAAAAAAAATTAAAAACATGAAAAATAATCCAACAAAGAATTTTCTTTATCTATTTGGATTCCATCGGAAGTTGTTTTTGATGGATTTGCTTTTGTTCTTGATATTTTTGATAAGTAAATCAAGAAGTAGGAGAAACAATTAAAAAGGAAAAGATGGGAGGAGAGCCGAGATTGTTAGCTGACTGGCGTAGTCTGGCTCCAATTATCCGCGATCGGAATTACCCCCGGATTAATCATTTATTCAAACTCTCATGATTCTAGCTATACTGTGATGATTGGGATTTGTACCTATGGCTTGCCTAAATCTCCCTAACTCCCCGCAACTAGTGTGCTGTAAGTGCGGGATGGACGGATGTGGGGCGCTACCGCTATGTTGTTCATGTAGATCGGGAGGCGCGATACTATTACGGGGTTCAGACATTGTATGGTATTTGACGCATGTCATGCACGATATTGCCCCGACATCCATGTGGCACACGCCTGGGAGCCATCCTTTGGTTCGGTTTGGGCACGACAGTCTGGTTCGGGCAGGTTCGGAACTATTACGGCGCTGTGGCATTCCTCGATATTCGACACGTTACAGGTTTGGAATTGGGTCAGCATCGACATGGTAAGATATTCTCAGGTTCGGTCCTGTTTCAGCGTTGGCATGGTACGACTGTTTTTTTTTTTTCCTTTTTTCTTTTGAAGATTGGTGCTTCCCGACRTGGCACTCCAGGCGGGTTTGAGGCTGCTGCAGTTCAAGCTGAGACGAAACAGCCACCAGAGCAGCATTGGAACAGGCTCCTATGAGTCGAAGGTATCCCTTGGCATGACGGAGTATGGGGCTCGGATCCACATCAAGGTTGGTGTGGTTCATTTGTCTGGGGCACAGTGTTGATTCCAACGGTATGATCACTGGGCCAGCACCGGTATGGCCACTGAGACGGAAACCTATGATGGCCGATTGGGGTCGGTACAACACATGGGGCTGCTTGAAAAGGGTTCTGATCTGATTCGGGGCTGCTGCGGGTCATAAAATTACCATGGGTACGGCACATACGCCCTTTGGTTTGGTCAGTGTGATATTATGACCAAAACTGCTATGACTCGGCGCGGGCCACTGTGAAACAAGCTTGCTACTTCGGTACGGTGACTGGTTCGGCGGTGACGCAGCTACGGTTGTTGATTCGGGAAGTGGTCTAACAGACCCTAGCATTGTGACTCGAAGACCCAGAGCTGCTCACACTATTACTGGGACCACTTGCTTTGATATCTCGTGGACAGACTTATGCCACCCTTGGCACCAACCAGGAGAAAAATAGGACCTGGCTCGAAGGGCCTGGTAAGGATGGCACCGAGAGTACCGGACTATTTTTTCTTTTTTTTAAAAAGAAAAAGGGACCGAAGGACGCTGGGGAGATTGAGCTGTGAACGGCCAGCACCACTGGGGGATATAGTCTGGTCCAGCCGAGTGCAGGGGGAGGGTTTTTTTTTGGGGAACAGCGTGCTAGGCGTACACAGCCCACCACCGGACCGACTGGTGGGCGAGAGAGGGGAACACTTGTGCGCTGGAACGGACGGTGTGCCCGGGGGAACCACGCCCCCACCGGCACTCTGTGGAGCGCGGTGACTAGCTTGGGGCAAGGAAGAGGAGTGCTGGAGCAGTGCACAAGGGATGGTGTGTGTGACTGAAAGAGGGACCTGCTAGAGACAAGAGAGCTGTTGTGTGATTAGCCACGGAGTATCTGACAAGGAGGCTGTTCATCGCTCGAGAGCGTGCTGGGTGATTGATTACCATGTGTCTGTCAAAGTAACTGCTGGTCACCCGAGAGCCTGCTGAGGGATTGTTAGTCACACGAAGACCAGCGGAGTGATTGGTCATTGAGTATCCATCAAGAGACCCGTCTGAAGCGAGCCGCGGCTGCGCGCTGAGAAACAAATTAGGGAGCTGTTCGAGATTCCTACTCCATGTAAACAGGCACA